AGATACCATGTTATCCCTTAAATTGTTCTCCACGGCTCCCAAATTGCTTCACTTCACCACATGAGTCTGTTGACTCACTAAAGATTTAAAGGTAATTAGATCTGCCTTTAGGAAAGGCAGAAAGTCATTTTTCCCTATCCTGAGCTAAATACAATTATACCAGAGGGATATTGCGCGATGCCAACCAAGTATTGTAGTCTTGTGATACTGCTCACGGGAAAGAAAAAGGACTTTGAGGCTACAGGTACGTCTACACTGCACTCTAAAATCAAAATAAGATACGCAATTTGTGCTATGCAAATTGTGTATCTTATTTCAATTTTATTTCTTAATAGGCTATTTCAAAATTTGGCACGTCTACAGTTTCAAAATAAAAGTGCTATTTCGAGCTATCCCTAATCCCTCAGGCAATGAGATTTACAGGGATGGTGAAATAGTGTATCCATTATTTCGAAAATTATTTCTAAATAGCAGATGCGGTCCTTGGATGCGGGGTAGCCATTTCGGGATACGTCTGGATAGTTATTCTGAAATAGCTTATTTCAAAATAGCATGTCTACACTTCATGGAAGCCTCAAAATTAGTCCAAGGCAGGCTTCCCTAATGTAGGCGTGCTATCTCGATTTAGAGCCCTGGGAGGAATAACTTAGAATGGCCCTAGTGAGGGGCTATTTTGAAATAGCAGAAGTGGAGGATCAACACACACCTTATTTCGAAATAGCTATTTTGGAATAGGCATTATTCTTTGTAAAATGAGGTTTACAGAAGTTGGAATAAGCCATCAATTATTGCAAAATAATTTCTAAATAACAGTGTAGACGCCCACATAGTTATTTTGGAGTAATGGCTATTATTCCTAAATAACTTTGATGTGTAGACACAGCATAAATGGAGCTTTTAAAGAGCCTTTGCTGAGTGACCACTGTAAGAGATCACTTGAGAAAATCAAAATTTGCACTCAGGTATCTCCTCTGAGTCTTAACTTATCACACAAAAGCTTCAGAGAGGTAGCCAAGTTAGTCTGTAACTGGAAAAACTTAAAAAACAACTACTAGTCCATCAGCACCTTAAAGAATAACAAAACATATAGAATCAAGTATCAGAGGGGTAGCCGTGTTAGTCTGAATCTGCAAAAGCAGCAAGGAGTCCTGTGGCACTTTATAGACTAACTGAAGTGTTGGAGCATAAGCTTTCGTGGGCAAAGACCCATGTATCTGACGAAGTGGGTCTTTGCCCATGAAAGCTTATGCTCCAACACTTCAGTTAGTCTATAAGGTGCCACAGGACTCCTCGCCGCTAAAACACATAGATGGTATCATGAGCTTTCCTGGGCACAACCAAGTGGGTTGTGCCTATGATAGCTCATGATTCCATCTATTTGTTTTGTTGGTCTTTAGGGTGCTGCTAGAGTAGACTATTGTTGTTTTTAAAGTTATCACAAAGAATCACACCAGACACAGATATAAACAATAAGGCTGTGTCTAGACTGGCAGTTTTTCCACAAAATCATCTGCTTTTGCAGAAAAACTTGCCATCTGTCTACACTGGCCGCTTGAATTTCCGCAAAAGCACTGACGATCTCATGTAAGATTGTCAGTGCTTTTGCGGAAAAACTATGCTGCTCCCGTTTGGGCAAAAGTCTTTTTCTGAAAGACTTTTGTGCAAAAGGGCCAGTGTAGACAGCAGAGATTTCTTTTCCGCAAAAAAGCCCCAATCGCAAAAATGGCGTTCGGGGCTTTTTTGCAGAAAAGCGCGTCTAGATTGGCCACGGACGCTTTTCCGCCAAAAGTGCTTTTGCGGAAAAGCGTCCTGCCAATCTAGATGCGATTTTCCGAAAATGCTTTTAACGGAAAAGTTTTCCGTTAAAAGCATTTCCGAAAAATCATGCCAGTGTAGACGTAGCCTAAGAGATAGTCCAAGTTTATTTGTTTCGGGTGGGTGCAAACACTAACAGAATGCAGGAGTCTTAGTTTCATAGGGAACTTTATAATGCTAATTAAAAATATCTGCAGATTTGAATGATTTGATCTTATAATTGCTACTACTGTTCACCCTTTCATCTTATCTCCTGTTGTTTGCTATCCTGATTTGTTGTCTTGGTGTTATGTCTTGTAGCCCCAGTAGTTTCCTGTAGTTTGACCAAGGCTAAAAGCAAGAGAATTCACACGTGAGAGCCCCTCATGTCTAAAACTTACCCTGACAAAGTCCCAAGAGAATGGGCTTAGAGTTTCAGGGAAAATGAAGACCTATATTTAACTATTATGTCAAACTCTACAGGCTTTTTATAAGAATGCTATTTATGTTATTTTAATGTTATAATATGTTATTTTAATCTGTTTCTAAGGTTTTCAGATACCACAGCAGTGGGCACTGCACAAAGGAGGAGACATTTTTAAGAAATTCATGAACACACTCATCGCTAGAGAACACAAGTTGTCAAACTATGTTCTCTTAGTCTATGAAGGCTTTAAAGTAATCAGAGAATGCATCCTGCTGGCAGTGTCAGAGGACTTAAACAGAATAAGATATTAGATTGGTAGTGGCAAGAGCAGTACATATTTAGAGCTCAGAATACAAAAGTGAATCCACTCACATAAGCAAAGAAAGGCACCATTTCCAATGCCAGTTCTGAGTATAATGCTATTCCTGGCATATTTAGGGTGTGAACTAATGGCTGACTGAGGCTATGTCTAAACTGCAGAGCTTTTCCGGGATACCTCCAGTATCCCGGAAAAGCTCTGCTTTGTCCAAGGAACACGTCCTCTTTTTTGGAACAGTTTCTGAAAAAGTGGACGTGTTCTTTCAGTATCCCTGTATTCCTCTGAGGGAGAGGAATAAGGGATGTTTTGAAAGAGGAGATTTTTCCAAAATTTGGCCCTGTATAGATGGGCCAAATTTTGGAAAAGCCTCTTTTGCACAAAAAAATGGAAAAAGATCCACAAATTGTGGTTCACAATTTGCATTTCTTTTTCCAACTTTTCTCAGCAGTGTAGACAATAGCCTGAAAGGAAGTCGAGAAAAAGCATTCTGTTTCAGTCTGCTGCTCAGTCATCAACAATCAGCTGAAAGACAATAGAAAAGTGGCACTTTTCAGTTTTTACCATATTGACAAGACTATATTACTATTCTTCATTATATATTTGACATTGATAATCTGATCAGCACTATATATTAGACATAAACAGTCTGCTTGCCTCAAAAGGTGTATAGCAAAGACTAAAAGATAGACCCACAGTAGACAGGATCTGCTAGGAATTCCACAAGTGAGGAAAACTTAATGTTTAATGATAAACTCACTTTTTGTGGAGAAAGAAAGCTTTCATGATGGATATAATTACTACTCCATGAGGAATAAGAGTAGTAGAATAAGGACAATGGACTTTAAAAAGCAGAGTTTTAACAAACTCAGAAAACCGGTAGGTGAAGTCCTGCAGGAAGAAACTCCAAGGGAAAAAGGAGTTCAGAAGAGCTAGCAGCTTCACAAAAAGACAATATTAAAGCAAACTAGCCTGATGTGAAGAAAAGGTAGGAAGAATAGTAAAGGGCCAATATGGGTGCATTAAGAACTCTTTAACAATCTGAAAATCACAAAGGAATCCTATAAAAAGTGGAAACATGGATAAATGAATAAGGAAGAGTGCTAAAGAATAGCCCAAGCATACAGGACATCCCCACTATAAGTCGCCCCCATATACATCCGTTTCACACTAAAGTCATTGACGTTCGTAGGAACTGATGTGTTATAAGTCCTCTCATTCCCCACTATAAGTTGTGCGAAACACCCCCCACTCTTCCCCCAATTTGCTTAAATGGAAGTCAGCTGTGGGAAAAAAAATTCCCCGCTTTCAGTTGTTTTGCTATAAGTCCAAGTTTTTTGGAACGTATTTCGGACTTATAGTGAGGACGGCCTGTATATGGACAAAATCAGATAGGCCAACACACACTAGGACTTCACTTAATAAGGAATATAAAGGGAATAACTTTATACAAAATTTCTATAAATAAATAGTTTAGGGAGCAAGAGAAAGATGAAAGATAGTGTAGGTCCATTATTTAGGAGGGCAGGAGAGCCAATAACTGATGGCAAGAAGAAAGCTGAAGTATTTAATGCCCATTTTGTTTTATTCTTCCCTAAAAGAAAATAAATATACCATATGCTTAATACAATTAATATTAACAACAAGGGGGAAGAGCACAAACTAAAATGGGGAAAGAACAGGTTAAAGAATATTTAGATAGATTGGCTGTATTTAAATTGGCAGGACCTGACAGAATTCATGCTGGGGTATGTAAGAAGCCAGCTGAGGAAATCTCAGAATCGTTATCAATTGTCTTTGAGAACACATGGAGTATGCATTAAGTCCCAGAGGATTGGAGAAGGACAAACATAGCACCTATCTTTAAAAAGGGGAACAAAGAAGACCTGGGAAATTATAGACTAGTCAGCTTAACTTCAGTATCTAGAAAGACAATGGAACAAATCATTAACCAATCAGTAAGCAGTAACCAGAGGACAATAAGGTGATAAATAATATCCAAACTATGGATCCATAGATTCAAAGGCCAGAAGTGACCATTTCAGGGGAGCCAATAGAATTGTCTGGCCCTAGGTAATGGGAGGTGGGGAGTGAGGGGCTCTGCACTCCAGGGAGGGGCAGGGCCTTGGGTGGAAGAGGTGCAGTAACATTGCTGGAGGAGTAACGGTAGTCTGAAATAGGGGCTTTAGTTCGAACTACCTAGCCCGTGCCACGTGTAGCTACGAGCAGGGAGTCCGAACTACCGGGCATTTAAAAATGGCGGCGCCCGGGAACATGCAAATAAAGCCCAGGATATTTTAATCCCGGGCTTCATTTACAAGTTCAAATGACTACATTAGTCACCCTAGTTCGATCTAGGGTGGCTAGTGTAGACATACCCTGAGGGAGTCAAAGTCTTCTTTTCTGAAGTCCAGGGTGTGTATTTTGCTGCTCTCCTGTCTTCTTTTGGTCAGGATCCTGAAATCTACCATCTCATGATCACTGCTTCCCAGATTGCCACCCACATCTACTTCCCCTACTAGTTCCTCCCCGAGTATGAGCAGCAAACAGGGCAGCAACCAACAGGGAGTTTGCCTGGGAAACGTGTGAGAGGAGCTGAGGTAAGTGTGGCTTTTGTGGGGCTGTGTTGCAAGCTGGTGGGATGAGTATCCAAGTGTTTGTCTGTCTATGAGCATTTGTTTGACTGTGTATGACACTTTTCATAATTCATTATGAACCTAAGTTGTTCCGATGGTCAATTACCCTCACTATTAAAAATGCACAGCTTATTTCCAGTCTGAATTTGTTTAGCTTCAACTTCCAGCCATTTGCCTGTGTTATACTTTTCTCTGCTAGATTTAAGTGCTCATTATTAAATATTTGGTCCCTGTGTAAGTACATATAGATTGTAATCAGGTCATCCAGGTTAGATATGAGGGAAGCCTCTCTAATCACAAGGATAGCTAATCTCTGGAATAGGATTCCAAGGGAGGGTGTGGAATCCCCATCATTGGAGGTTTTTAAAAACAAGTTAGATCAGAGACAGAAAAGATACATCCTGTGTGTCAGATCCAGCCTGCTGAGCCTTCAATCTGGCTCAAGACCCACCCTTCTGAGACTCACAGGCAGGGAGCAGCCCCAGGGCTCAAAGCCTCTGGCTGCTCCATCTGGCTCTGCACTGGGGGGAGGGAGAAGCTTTGTGTGCTGCCCCACAATGGAACCAGCCAATGAGAGCTGAGAGATTGTACGGAGGTGGAGGCAGTAAGTGAACTCCCCCCCCCCTCCTCCTGCACGCGGCACAGAGAGGCACAGTCCCATTGGGCTGCTGGCTGGGAGCTGTTTGGGTAAGTGCTTATTGACCAGAGCCTGCTTCTGGCAACCCAGCCCCATCTGCACCAGAACTTCCTGCCCCAGGTCACCACCCAAATCTTCCGCATCCCCTCCCCCAGGCAAAAACGCCTTATCAGACCCTGCATCTCCTCCTTCACCCCTCTCTCAGACCAGAATTCTCTCCTGCACCCATTGCTCTCCCCAACTCTACATCCCCTGCTGCACCCCAATTTTCTATCCCTGGTAGCCACCCAAACTCTCTGAAAACCTTCCCCCTCTTCCCCAGGTCACAACTCCTACACCCCTCTCTCAGGCCAAAATCCTCTCCTGCACCCAGACCCACTCATGGACCCTGCACCCAAGCCTCTGTCCTAGCTCCTTGACCCAGACTCCATACTCTTTCCTGCACCCACGTCCTTACCCCAAGCTCCCTTCTGCATCCAACCTGTCACAGACCCCACACCCCCCCTCATAGAAAAATTCCCGTCCTGCCCCCCCCCCCCCCATCAAAAATTATTGCCCATCCTGGTTAGACAGCTGGGTATACTTGATCCCGCTCCCTGAAACCAGCCTTTTGCTATAATCACCAATAAAGATGGACTCATAGTAAAACTTTAGAGGCCTGATTCTCCATTGCCATTCACCTGGTGCTGTGTAAAGTTGATATAAAATAGTACAGTTCTGGTTCAGGGTACCATTTTAAACCTCTGCTTGCCCTCTGCAAAGGTGTGACTACACAAAATGCAAGACAGTGGAGAATTTCTGCAGTCACACATTCCACAGAAACAGTGCTTCCTTTTCCTCTCAGATGACTGAGGAAATGTCAGGCCAGATCCACATTCTGAGTCTTGGGCTCACTTCTAATCCTCCCTTTTTTTGAAGTGCACTGAACTTTTAGCAGAACTGAGGCAAATTCAGTTAAGCCAATTGCAACGGTGTATCTGAGGACAGAGTTTGGCCTGCTATTTTGGTCATCCAGTAGCTGGGTCATCATAATTCAGAATGTGTGTTCTTTAGCACTGTCCTAGATGTGAAGCACATCTTTAGGCTTTACTGCCAGCAGCAGTGGCTAATCTGTGTCAATCCACCAAGCCAGGAAAAGTGAGCACTGATCAGGTTTAGTGGTGACTACAGATAGAAGGGGGGAGGGGAGCCCTCATTACTGAAATGCTTTACTGCGCTCAGAGAACTATGGCTAGCATACCAGCAGCAGTCCAACCTTCCATCCCTGATACTGGCACATAGGCAGGCAGCTACTTTTACAGGGCATTGAGAACAGTATGTCAGGAGTTTATGAGTAATGAAAAACTTCAAGGACACTTTATGTGAAATGGTACTATGTACTTTCTCTGCCCTAGCACAGGCTCACCACTTATCACTCTAATCGAGTCAGTGCATTAGTCTTCAAGACG